AAAAAAAAAAAAAAAAAAAAAAAAAAAAAAAAAAAAATTGAACAGTCACTACAATCGACTTCAAATAACTCCGGTCAACATTTTTATTTTACTCGGATTTGGTTTTATGTTACAATTTCCTTTTTTAAATTCTATAATATGGTACTACTCAACTTTTTGATCTATCTCTCTCTTTATTGAAAATTCAGACCGCTTTGCTTAGTCAGTTAATTCCAAGTTTCTAATGAAGTATTTCAGGTGTCAGTTAGCCATTCAATCATTTTTACAGGTTAAGAATCCGTGAATACTAAGCGATGTTTTGACCCTTTTTTCTCTCTGTCGCCTGTTACAGAACCAAACCCTGACAACTTCTCTATCAAGACGTAATCCTTCAGCGATGCGGATAATTTCTTGTGAAGATGGCTTGGGCTGTTTCAGAAAATGATCTTCAAGATGTTCCTTTGCAGTGAGCCCAATGGTCGTCCGTCTTTTTCTGCGCCGTTCAGCGTTGAATTTATCTCCACACGCCCCGCCGGAGCATTCTGCTTCCTCAAGCCAACGCGCTAGAATCGGCTTCAGTTTGCACGCATTTTTGAAACTCAACTGCAGATTCTCGAAACGGCAAATAGTAGTTTGACTAAAATCTGTTCCGTGCACTGAGGCTAACGCTGCTCCGACGTTTGTTTGCGTGAAGCCTAGCTTGATCCTCCGGAGTTTAAACTGCGTTGCAAACTCTTCCAGTTCACGCAGTTTAGACGTATCGATGTGAAAACCCAAACCATGTGTAGCAGCTAGCCCAGGTTCCGTTTCAAAGCTTGCTATAGGGTTAAGAACGAATGGAGAGGCTACATGAATGTTGGCTCGAGGGTCCATTTTGCTGCAGTGCGACACAGGTGGTAATGGGGTTGGATGCGAAGGCATCATTGTTATGGGGGTCTCTCGAAGCATTGGCTGGTAAGGCGCGTAGGAAACTTCTGTGGGATAAGGTGGACACGCCATGATCGCTGCTCAAGTTAGCCTTTGATTGCCTCGCGGTTGGAGTGAAGACAGAGTGCGCAATCACTGAACCGTCATTTAAAGCAAACTCCTCGCGCTGCAGGCAATAATTCGAGATAACAAAACTCAACGCGAGCTCCTTATGAGCGGAAGACAGAAAGTCGGAAACACTGCCGATGTTTTAGGTTTCAAAGTGCTATGCTATCGCTCTTGAATAAAGATGAGATAAAGGGTATTTTATGATATAGCGCTTGCTAAAAGCTACAATAACTCTAGTTTCAACCTAAAGAGTCCAGAGTGTTCAGAAGAAAAGATAACAGAGTTTTCAAGGTGGAAAAATATTATTAAACTCACGCTATTTTTAATGGGACTGAAATTCCTCAGGACTTCTTAAAATTTCTTTATAAAATTTCCCTAATGTTTTTTTGTCGGATACATCTCCTTACTGAAATACAAAGTAGAAAGGATGGTGAACGCATAACCCATTCAATTAATTTCGTTTTGTTTTCAGGTAAACCACAGAAGTGAAGGGACGTTTATCCATTATCGCACATCATGACACATAATGACCCAATATGATAGCGGCGCGTTCGCTAAAAGTGCGATTATACTTTAGCATACTGCTTATTCTTCTCCACAGTTAATTATAACCCCCAATCGGAAGTTAAACAACATTAAAACTGAGTTAAAAAATCATAACTCGAGGTGTTGCAAACTGTTGTTAGCTAAATAAGCAGTTAGGTTCCGCGAATAGAATATCGGATTACTCGCCGCAAAAGTGTTAAGCGCTTGAATCGGTCATTTCCTCAGATTTAATTTTGAAACAATGATGCCTTTGTAGAAATAATTTGATTTGATCAAATATCCTTGAGAAAAAAATCAAGTTTTCTGTCCCACTGACTTTCAACAAAGAAAGCTCTTCATGTTTTTCCTTTTTGACAATTTTTTTACTGATCGTAAGGACGATTTTAAAGACAATGAAATCTTTAGTGCTCCGTCAAACGATAACTTTAAAACCAAAGACACAAGTGTTTGCATATTAATGCTTCCCAAAGGAAGATGTTTAAAGATAAACGGCTGAACTCATTAAATGCGGAGAAATCATAATGGACCGAATACATTACTGTGAACTGAAGATCGGAGGCAGCGCAAATGTCAGGCGAGCTGGCTTTTGAATTATTCACTTTCTGCAGCTGTTCGTAACGCGTTAAATGCTTTTTTAGACTCCGTGCTATTGAATGTTAACTATGCTATTGTAAGAAAGTCTTTAAAACATTTTAAAACGTTGCAATTTGTGTTTTGACGTGTGACTTACATGAAAATTAACGAAGCCCTAAATGCCATCGATCTTTAATCTCTAGTCACACTTAATTCCTTGTCTCAACTCAATTACTAAGTAGTTCTTTTGTCGGACTTTCAAGTATCACGAGATATTTTGCTAGTGCAGATCAGAAAAATGAAATGTATCAGTTTAAGAATAGTCACGCGAGCGCGTGGAGTTTCTTTTGCGATAGATTAAAGTATCTGAAAACCAAAAAAAAAAATGAAATTTCCTTTTAGGCGTAAGGAAAAAGTGCGGTAAGACTGATCCAACTAACCTTCAAGGAAGCTGGCAAAAAGGGAAATCTAAGTTACTAATTTCAGGTCCAATTTTGAACAGCAGTTTCCCTATCAAACATTCCAGACTCTTTTTCGTTTAATTTCAAAGTCGAAAATGAGAGCCTGGCAAAATTGCCGCTGATAGATCGCAGTAGATGTGTGTGCTGTCTTTGGAGAATAGTCTTCACACGTACTTTATATTTCTATGATTTTGCAGATACAAAAGGCTTTAGTGGAATAAAACATTAAAAAGCTTTAGCTTATGTCATGACATGTGTTTGAAAGAGAAAATTTTGTTCACTCATGTGGTTATCTTACGGCCCTGTACTGATGAGCCGAATGGAAGACGAGATTTTACGGAACAGCCGATTTTAACTCGGGTCACGAATTCGAAGGGAAGAGCGTGAGGGCCTGGAAACCAATCTCCGCCTCTGAAGTATAAACATGGCGGCAGAAATTCGCGAGAACAAGTGCGTCGTGTTGAAGAATCGCCCAGGTGTAGAAAGCCAACCGAATGATTCAAACTTTGCTCTGGAAAAAAGAGAAGTTCAACCCTGTAATGAGGGAGAAATATTGGTAAAGACGTTGTATCTGTCTGTGGATCCTTACATGAGATGTCGTATGAACGAGGAAACTGGCTCAAGCTATCTTACTCCATGGCCACTCGGAGATCCACCAACTGGCGGCGGAGTAGGCCAAGTGATTCAGAGCAAGAGTCAAAATTTCAAAGAAGGAGACATTGTGGAGTCGTTTTTGTGGCCATGGCAGGAATTGGTAGTGTTTTCGGGCGAAAATCCACGGCTAGTCAAGGTATATAGACTGCTCAGTCAAAAGCGAATGGGACATCTCAGGTTTTATCCGCACACCGCCTATGGAAGGCATAATTTCGATAGGCTCTCGTGTGAATGCCCCCCATGGAAGGCAGGATTCCGATAGGTCCTTTCTGGCAAAATTCCCACCTGTTGTGGTGGTGGGGGGGGGGGGGGGGG